TCGAGTCCTTAAGCTCGCATGAAAGCGACCAACAACTCGGTAGATATGCAATTCGACAGTTGGCGCTAGTACAGCGGCATCTAACACAACAACGAGCTCAGGAACGGGTCTTTCAGATGTTGCGAGGCGATGTGTCTGTAACTCTAGCACCGATTGCAGCGAACACGTTGAAGAGGAGTTCGTCAGCGGATACGGTGAAGATTACGCCTCGATCAGCATCCACTCCGACCTCAATTTGTCACCAGACGAGTAAAGTGAGAGCCAATGAGGCAGCGAGTTTGCATTGGAAGAGTAAGAAGGCAGCCGTCGAGATGGCTCGAGCTATGGTACATGCCAACGCGATGAAGAAAACTACATCCATTTCTACAGGTTTTATGATATCTGCTGGAGATAATGCGTCGAGAAAGAGAAGACGACCGCGTGTGGTGAAGAGGACGCCAGAGGAAGAAGCGAAGTATAAAGCGCAACAACTTGAGCGCGAGCGAGAGAACCGACGACAAGCTGCCTATCAACGATTACAGGCGAGACGAGAACTGCAAGCGAAGAAGAAACAGGAGCACAAGAAGCAGAAGAAAGACGAAGATACAGACAGCAGATGTACTGGAGACGTATGTGGAAAGCAGGAGGTTGACAGTGGTAGCGACGATGAGAGCGAAGCGAGTGACGTCAGTAATTGTTCCGAAAGTGACGAGGCCAATGAAAAGGCAATTTTAGCGCTAGAGGTGCAGATCGAGTCTTCAGTGGGTGAAGTAGAGAGCAGTCCGAGGACGGATAGAAGCGGCGATAGCGATGGTGATGCAAGTAAAGACGTTGAGGAGAATTGCAGTCTTCAGAAAGATAAAGACGAAGATCTAGAAGCTCCAGAATGTCACTCAAGTCGAAGTACAATACCTGATCAAGTACCAGAGAACTCGACTACAGTGATCGAAAACTTCGAAACGTCTTCGAAAGACATCGTGTCCTCGATTGATTCTACGTTTAAGGACGTGGAAGGCACGGATGAATTCAAGAATGTGAGTCTACAAGAGGCTGAGAAAAGTAAAGCGACTTTTGAGGCGAAAATGGAGCAGCCGCAGTGCGAAAATGAAACAACTGTCTTTGATCTGCAGAGTTTTATGGCTTCACGAGCAGCAGCAAAGCTTGAACAATTACGAGCAGAGAAACAAGCACGCGAAAAGGTTACCCCGACGTTTGAGGTTTCTCCAACCTCTGACGTTCGTACAAGATCTGCTAGTATATTTACGAACGTAGAGCGCTCGACTGTGTGTGTATCTCGGTCTGAAGCTAGTGACGATAAAGAAGCAACCAAGCGTTTTGACAAATCACAAGCTAATACCCCGACCAAACCCCTCGACTCTAGTGATGATAGAGCAATTGACAAGCCATGTTCGTGGATAGAAGAAGTCCGCCAGAGTGCTGAAGTCATCAGAGCCAATTCTCCTGAACAGAAAGAGCTCGGTGGACAAGCTCTTACACTTCCTCGAACTCCAGTGGCCGAGTGCAAGGACTACCGCTTCTACTTTCGGAATTTCCACTGTATCCTCACCTCAGTTTTCGAACAATGTCGTGGTAACTCTCCCACTTCGTCCACCTCTTCACTGTACCACCGTCCAATTGGTGCAACTGGCGAACACACGATGCGGTTGCAGCAGAAACTGTACGAGAGCTGGCAGAGTATCATGCAGGACTACGCTACAGTGTTTGGTCCTAGGATTGTAGCTCCAGAAGGCATGGTGCCTATTGCAGCAGCTAAACCATGGGCGCCACACTACCGAATCAACTCAATAGCACGTAAAGAAGTGGCAGAGATTGTGACACAAGCTCTATTGCGCTTAGGTGGAGGGTGGGAGGATCATCCCTCCGGACTTGGACTCAAAACGACGTGGAACTTACTCTGGACCTGGAGTAAGCCACGCGTTGAACGTCAGACGCTGTTAGTGTGGCAAAAAGTCAACCATTTCCAACATGCGAAAGCTCTTACTCGTAAAGATTGTTTGAAGAAACATATCGGGAAATACTTGTCTGCAGGTGGGAAGCTTCGACAAGCTTTTGATATTATCCCACCGACTTTTCTCCTACCAAAAGAATATGTGAGTTTCGTGCAGGCATTTCAAGAACGTAGTGAACGTTTGAGACGTAATGGGGTATCGGAAGCGAAGAATATCTGGATTATGAAGCCGGTAGCGTTGTCTCGTGGACGTGGCATCTCGTTAGTGAACGATCTGAGTCAAGTCATCTATGGCGAACAAGTGATTATCCAAGAGTACATAGCTGCTCCTAGATTACTAGATGGCTTCAAGTTCGATCTGCGTTTGTATGTGTTAGTGACGTCGTTCAACCCTCTTGAGGCGTTTCTCTACGATGAGGGCTTTGTTCGTCTCTGTACTCGACCATATGAGGACAGTGACATCAGCAACATCTTCGTCCACTTGACTAACAGTAGTATCCAGAAAGAGAACCAAGAAGCGATCACTGGTACATGTACCATGAACGAAGAGAAGAGTGAAGCTTCTCAAAAAGACACTGGAGGTACAAAGACAACGCTAGCGTATCTTTGGAGACGACTTGCAGCCGAGGGGGTGGACGTGGAACAAGTCAAACGTAGTATCGAAGAGGTAGTGCTGAAGGCTCTTCTTTGTGGGGAAGACCACATCCCGTTCCAAGTCAACAGCTTTGACCTTCTAGGATACGATATCCTCTTGGATGCCGACCTGCGACCTTGGCTTATTGAGATCAACTCGTCTCCATCCATGGCACGAGATATCGATCTGGACTACCAGGTGAAGGATGCGATGATGCTAGATACGTTGCGTGTGGTAGACCCTCTCCACTTTAATCGAGCCAAATTAGCAGAGGTTATTGCACGACGACAGCGCGATCAAGAGGAAGAGAAGAGACGACCACATGCAAATACACGTCATCCTCGAGAGACCGAGGAACTGGCAGCAAGACAGTTGAATGAAGACTTGACTGCCATCTTGCGTGGTAAAGTACCTAGAGCGTACGGAGAAATGCCGGAGGATATTGGCAACTACCGAAGACTGTGTCCACATACAAACATCTATAACCAGCTCGTCAAGCTCAAGCGGAGCTGCTTGCGAGCTAAAGCGTAAGAATTGTAGTGGAGGCTGTAGCGATATTGATAGTTAACCAATCAGATCACGTGTTTAAGTCCACTTCAACAAAGTGTTTCGAGAAGTATCGCCTATGTAAAATGGCACATTACCTGTAACATTCATCGGAATGTTACCTCGGTGGTATTCATACTTGAAACGATTCCAAGTCGTACAAAAACTGAAGCAAACACGTTCTTGTTGCAGTAAAAATGGCTATCACTATTCCCTGGTCGAGCTCGAACATGTAGCCTGTACATTATTGGCTGTAATATTCCTCGTAAGAAGGACTTTATTCTCTGACTTTTATACAGTGTTAGGAGGCGAGTCATTCTGGCCCAAAACTACTTTAATTTCTTATACTCAGATCTCAAACTAATTCAGCTCAAAACCTCAATAATTGACTTGAGACTTCATACACCTGTTATATAAGATCTACATGGGATGGGACCCGGGTACGAAACAGTAGGCACAAATAAGCCTCGAAATACTATACCAACAACTTTAGTACACCTGATACTCGGTGCTTATACTGAGTTTATAATTTTATTTTACCGATATGGGACCCTTGTGTCACATTATCCATACAGCACCGATAAGCTGCAGCCCTTGATCACGCAATGGTGATTACGAGAGCTTCTTAAACAATCATTTTTACGGATTATTTTTCCGTGATCTCGATGAGTATCTGATCGAGAAACTGGAAAAAAGTTCTGACGCCACCAGTTCTTTATCATTTCGCAATTCACGAAATTAACTTCAGCAGCGCCAGTCATGTGCTCCTTCCAAGTTCTAGTCGTCACATTGGTCCTTCTCCTAACCAGTAGTGAGGCTGCCAATGATCCTTCGAAGATCTCGACGTTGCCCTCGCGTGAATTGTCTCTCTCGAGCAATCCGGTCACCCGCAGCCAAAGGCGATCGCTGCGAATTGACACAATATCGACGAAGACTCGTCGGAAAGAGGCGCCTTGAAGTCTACGAAGGCATATTTGTGGGCGGAATTCGGGGCATCCGATGACTACGTCAGGAAGGCATTGAAGCTCACTGCTCTTGACGATACCGCCGTCAGGAGCAACAAGTACTACGCTGCGTATGCCAACAGAGCTGAATATCTAAAGATTACCAAGTGGCTCCAGGAAAAGTAAACTATGCCCCAAGCCTGGACGAGACTCAACCTAAACAAATTGACTGAGCCGGATGTGAAGGAAAAATTTCAAAGTCTTCTAAAAACTGATGGCTTCAAAACATACGCACGCTTCGTGAAACATTTCACCCAAGACACAGTTTCAGCTCTGAAAAATGGTTATAACCCTGGCCGTGTGATCGTCGAAAGAGGGGGCCCAGATGCGGAGATGAGGCGAGAGCGCTCATCATGGCCAGAATGGGGATAAAGGACGAGCATGCAAAAGTTCTTCTGGGTTTAACCGATCATGACCGCTATATGAAACCACTGGAAGGGCTGAAACTAAAAACACATACGGACTACAGATTTTTCGAGATTTTTCTAAAAGGAAAAAAATCACCACAAACTCAATAAGTGAGTACGGTCGGGGACTCTATCAGTGGTCAGCGTTTAAAATTAACTAGTAGTAAGTTAGTACAGGGCTCATGGACAGTGTTGACTTGGTACTGTACCTGCTGGAGATGGTCTTAAACTGTTAAATAATCGCAGCTCTTACCCCAATCTAACGTTTCCTTATAATTAACAAATTCGCTAACATAAAGTCTTTTGCGACTTTATATTGTGCTGAAACGCTCAAAAAGGTAACTCAAGTTTGCCAACGCTTCGACGGAATCTCCTTATTTCAATTTAAATGAGTTGGATGAATGGAAACATCAACTTAAACTTCAGTCTCTGCGACTTAAGTGACAGCCGTCGAATTCAACTTAGTCATCCGTCGACGTAGAATTGGTGAACAAGCGCGGGGTCGCACGAGGAGGGATACCTAGCGCCGAAGGAGACAAGGTAAACGTCCTCGAAGGAATATGAGCGGTTGCCATTGGACGGGGAGCAGGCGCCATCACCACTGGATATGCCGCGCTGATAAGGCCAACGGTATGACCAGCTGCGGACGCGGGGTCGCCACTGGCAGCAGACGCGAGAATGTTCACCGCGTGGGATACCACCGCCCGGTTCGTTGCAAGATTCCCCAACGTACCTGTACCAGTACCGCCGTCTTGCTCAAGTTGCTCGAGAATCAGATCAGCAGCAGCCTTATTCGCCTCCGGATGGCTAGCCAACATCTCCTTGATGACCTTTGCGAGCTGCGCGCGGTCGCTCTTCGACAAAACAATTGTGCTCTTGCTCACGAGTACGTTGTTGTTCTTGGCGTCAATCGTATTGGTGATCACACCATCACCACGAAAATGGGTGCCCATGGCATGGTTGTCGACGTTTAGGGACGTCGGTTCGTCCGCCGACACCAGCGACACAAGGTAGGCAAGCGCAAAAGTAAGAGCAGCGATCTTCATAATAGCTTAGCGGTGGCTGGTTGGGGTCCAATCGAACAATGCCGGCGTCGTATTCGTTTGACGCTACCTAGAGCTTCTAGGCGCGCGAATCTAAGAAAGAACGCACGGAGAGGTAGCGCAACAAAACTACAGAATCAGGAAATTCGGGTGAATGGTGACGCATTTACTGCGAAAGCAACAACTTGAGTTTGCTTCCATCACAAAGGTTGAAGTTGCCGTCATTGGCTTGATTTTAATGAAATCACTTAAAAAAGGCGTAAGTTTGCCAAGTTTTTTTGAATCGCAATTTGCTATTCGTTTGTCTTTATGCTAAAAAGCCTAGCAAAATCGAGGAAAAGGTATAGGTATTTTTTCAGACTTATCGATAAACTGCAGTCGGCATCGCAATTCGACTCAATTATCTGCCTCACAAACCGATTTACGTCTTCCGCGAAACTGCACAAGCAAGGACGGCTACCATGAAGGTCACCGCTCTTGCCGTCACTATGCTCGTTGCCGTCGCAGGAATCGTGTCCGCCAGCGACTGCCAATCTGCTCCAAGAGCACTCGCCGATACTATTGCTGAACCTGCTAGGGAGCAATGCATTCCAGGCTGTTGGTGTCCATGCTGTTGCGATGCTGTTGGTGCTGTCAGCAAGACGTAAGCGGACTATAACGGCAGCCTCTCATCGACCACCGATTTAGTTTAGTATTGGCCCCTTTTAATTTCAAAAAATGTTGCGCTGCGTTAACATTTTTTTCTGTCTGGAGTCGTATTCTTAACCCAGTGCGTGTACTACAGTCATCTAAATGCTAGGCAAAACAAATAAAATACCTCGTTTGTTGTCTAGTTTTACTAAGTCAAACACTGCTGGAGCGTATCTACTGGATATATAGTCCATCAGAGGAGTTCTTGTGTAACACACTCCTTGTATTTGTAGAGGATATTTATCTCTCATAGCTGTTTCATTATTTTCATTTTTTTAATTAAAATAATTTCGACGCATGCGCCTGGGAACGCATTGTGTTGTGTTAAAATCTTCTTCGAGGATTGAAAATACGATGTCAGCCTTTTCTAATAGGCTACCCTGTCCAACTTGTTCATTTTAAACTGTCATGATCTACCCGAACACATGAATTCCCACAGTCTGTAGGGGCCACACGAACAAATGCATTAATGAGAGCTTATGCAATGACCATCAGTTCGATCCGAAAAGGGAGAGGAGAGCGGTGCCCCTTTTAATGGTCATACAATTGGCTACAGTAAGGTAGTGTCAATTTCCCCGATGGACTTGCCACCATGTTTGCCGAGAGGGTGGTGACGGACTCCTTGCAGATCCTGGTGTAGGTCTTGTACGCTTCGGAAACCTTGCGACCGTAAAACTGGATTGTGAGTGCATACGTGCCAGATCGGTACATGTGTGTAGCTCCACCGGCAGGGAATGAGAGCTGAGCTGGCGTGGGACTTGGCCAACACGAGCGGCAACGCGGGTGATGGCTCGGACACGTCTTCGGTTGATACACAGGCTGGTCGTCCCCCACGCGAGATGTACACGGCGGCTGGAATGTTTGCGGGGAGGTTCATCCTAGCTTGAAGGAGAGTGCGAACTCCGAACACGGTGCACAAAAACCGATTGCTAGAGTGAGATAGCATTTTTGTTGTTGAAGCCCCATCTTGCTTTGTCTTGGACCCCGTCAAGCGAATCCATACGGCCTGATCGTGTGACGGACGCGGAGTCGGCTGTCCAGCGGTATCCACAACTACGATGTCTTAAGCTCGGCGCGCGAACCACTTGAAGGATCCACCCTGGATGGCCACGATCTTTGAGCGTCTCAGAAGAAAGAAGAACGCCAAGCACACTAAGCGTCCGTTTCAGCCACAACATCAGGAGGTGGGAGGTCGCTGAAGTATATTAGATTTACGATGTTCAACTGAGGGTTGTGCAGGATAAGCCACCACCAGATCAAGTCTTTTCGCAATGTATATGTCACGGTGATGCACTCAAATTGACGGAGCTGGGCCTCGCGGTGGCGGAGACGCAGTAGGAACGGTCGTGCGGCCCCAATGCAGGTCGCTACATGCCGTAAGCTGCCAACCCTTGTGGGTCATCGTCGAGGAGCAGTGAGCAGATGCGACAATCTTGCGTGCCTTTTGGATCTTGGAAACGGGTAGTGCGACCACTCCATCGACGGAGTCGAACTCAAATTTGACAACACACTGGCGTGTCTTCCACTCAGTGAACTTCTCAGGGTTGATGGCGTCAGCGCCCAGAATGGCCACCATGGCGTAGCGGAGGGAGCGGTCCATGTCGGAACACGTCATTCCTACGTCCGCAGCTACGTTGATGTGGTAATCCACTCAGTGATAGCTAAAGAAACCGACCAAGGAAGCTGCGTTCGTATGATAGCCATGAACGTGAGAGATCGCTCCGCCGAAGATCTCGCAGAATCCGAGAGAGCCTGTCATCCCGAAAGACGCGGACAGCACGAGCACCAGTGCGTTTTCCTCCTCAGCCAGCCCGGCAAACAGGTAGATGCTGTCGTGAATGCTGATATTACGAAAGTCCGTAGCCGCGTCGTCCGCCATCACGTATACGGCTACACCGGGGAATGATAGCTTCGTTTTTAAAATCTCCGGGGCTACCGCGTCGCAATGGACGTAATCAGGCTTTGTAATGCTGTCTTGATCGGTGCAATCGCTGATCGATGTTCCTTCAGAGTATGGCAGATCGTGGATCGTACGGCCGGAAATCTTAGTGCCCTCGCTGCCCTTGTCTACGACGCAGAAGGGGCCATTGATTACTCTGGCCACTGCTTCAGAAAATCTATGTCGAGGACCGGCCACCTACATGATTCTTGCTTGTTTCTGATATTCTTGCGCGGGATGTTGATCCTGTCCCGAGCAGAACTATAATTTACTGGCCGAACATACTTCCGAGGTGGAGTTTCTAAAAGCTCAACTTCAACGCCTTCTCGAGCAATCTTCTGCACCTGCGCCAAGTGATTGTATTCTTTGCATAGCTCGCCAAGAACCGCTAAGACCAGATTCTTGTTCGGGCGATCGTCCCGCTCCGTTTGCCCCCGAACCAGCTTCACGAACGACGGTAGCGGCAAAACTGAACGGCGTGCGAGTTCCGACCGAGAGCGTTGCTGTGGCTTGTTAAGCAAGTACACAGGTTCATCAGCATCTTCTTGTGTTGTAGGGAAATCAGGCGCTGGTAGCTTTATGCCGACGCTGGTCATGACCTTCCCGAGCGTAGTCGATTGAACTTCTTGGTTCAGGTCCCGTCGCTGGCGTGCGTTCTCATGCATTTGGCCCGCGGCTTGACTTGATACTACAAGGTGGCGTAGGGTTCTTCCGATCCGAAGTATGTTTCCTGTGCCATCTTTGTTAGCCGAGTGTACATTGGCTGGATTTGCTTGACTTGTACCTGAAGTCGAAGGCATGCTTGCAGATACATCAGGATTCATCGAGATTTTGACCTTGGGAGATTTCGTATTATCGCGTCGGTCGTTCTGTCATATTAACTCGCTAGTATACAAATTGTCTGACCTCGATTGGCTGCCCCCTGGGAAGAGTATACTTAGATGAATGTATAAACGACATGGATTGTAGGCCATATACCCGTGGGTGACTATATAGTTGACCCGGACTGTATAGACGAAGACGTCACTTGTCTCGATCCACAGGTTTGGGTGAACCTGGAAGGCGAGGAACCCCGTACATCGGCAGGTGAGGAGAGGATTTCATTAGCGAAACGGAGACCTTTCGAGGCAATTTCTCGCTCGCGCGGCAAAATCAGCCCCCTTTCTCTCCCACCCGCTCCCACCCTAACCTCCTCCCCAATATCTCTTTTTGCGGGGAGGGCGTGTCCTACACAGCTCGCTATGGATGCTCGTAGCCAGGACTTCAGCATAATCTTATGTATTATCCTACCTTATCTGGTTCTCGTACCGAAATAATGTGGAACTACATTCCCCTCGGCCCCATCAGCGACGGTCGCCTTGGTTCGTGTCGTGGGAGCCATACGTGCTGTTCACCCTGTCCTGACGACGCGCAGGTAGCGGATCCGGTCAGTTGTGGACACGCTTCGAGTTGCTGCACCGGTCTCGCAAGCCTCCAGCATATGGCAGCCCCGCCACATTCAGGAGGCAAGGCTCTTGGCCGCGACGACGGAGTGGTATTTGTCGTTGAATAGCACCCGTAATTGCCGAGTTGCGCTCATGGTCACTTTTTCCATTGTCGCGCGTCTCGCGAAATACTTGCTTCTCCTGGACGATTACGCTGACAAGCGCCATAGCCCATCCCGTTGAGTGATACTCAATCACCCGCAGCAATTTACAGAAGCCAGCACTGTGGGTTATCGTCCTGCATGTGCGCCAGTGCTGAGCCCTAGACCTTGTTCACATACAGCAGAGTAAGTTGCACACGCACCGGCGTCGTGTCCGGGTTGGCTGACTTCTTCTTCGACACGAACACTCGCAACCGGCGTCGTGTCCGGGTTGGCTGACTTGTTCTTCGACGCGAACACTCGCAACCGGCTTGTAAACGTTCGCATATAGCTGTACCACACGTCTTGGCCCAGCGCGTTCAGTCCGTGGGTGACATCTAGGAAGTCCTCGTATGAAATGCATTCAGCACCAACGGTATGTAGCCCAGCCGAAGGGCTGAAGTCGCTTGAGAAGTTCGCGCTATTTGAGCCATTTTCTAGGCAAGCCATCTCGCTGCTTTTTTAGTGCATGATCGTCGGCCCGCGAGACCCTATTTGGCCGCTGAAGATGGCCATCTGTACGGCCGGTGTCGCACCAAACTTGACGGACTCTAGCTTTCGTACCCGTAGCACAAACGGCATAGCAGTTGTTGCCGTACCTGTGTCCGTCCCAAAGTCTCGAGCTCAGCCATTACGCTCACGTCAGGAACATTGGGAACTGCAGCAGGTACTGCGTCAGGTTGGTCTTCCGCGAGAAGCGAAGGGGTAGGTGCGCTGCCCGTCGCTGTGCCTCGGCCGAGTTTGAAGGATGCCATGAACGAGTTTAAATCAATGTCGTCGTGATGGCCAGAAACGGGCTCAAACCTCGTAGGTGCCGCGATTTTGCCGATGGCCGATGTCTTCGCAGGCGGTGCAGACTTCTTCGATCTCTTCGGCTTTTGTGGGCCGCCTTCGCTTCCAGGGCTTGGTCTGACGCGTCATCCACACCTTCGTCGGCCTTCTTGCGCCCTGTTTCTAGACGCGTTCGTCGAGGCCATGCGCTTTGTAACCTTCTTCCTGCGCTTCCGGGCTTCGCTCCGCGTGATGCAGCGCGCTGGCTCATACGCAGAGGAGGGAGATCCATCGTACTGCGCACTGAAGCGGTGGTACATGGCTCCACGCCGCCGCTGACATCCACGACGTCGGCTCTACTGGCCGGTGCTTCGCTGTCCGAGGGGCAGTACCTGCCCTGGACGCCAGCGAGTTGGGCGTTTCTGAGGCTTATTGAGCTGTCATTGCGATGTTGAGTTGAAATTCCCCCTTATTTCTTGGCTGCTTGTAGCTTGTTCGTCCAAATCTGAAGTGAGGGATCGCGCCACGTGTGGCCAGCAACAATCGGGGAAAGAGTATATACCGGTAGGTCTGCGGTATGACGGTACTAAACTGATGTAAAAAAAAAACTCCCTTACCATCTCATTTCGATATGGTTTATTGTGCTTTGCAGATGGAATGTCGCTAGGCTTTATGAGCATGGTTGGCGCATAAAAACAGGCGTAAAACTGATAAAGGAAAGGCATATCTGAAATTATTATATCTGCACTCGATTTGCGTGTCAAAAACGCAAAAAGGGTCGTTTAAATGATATCGATGGCGATTTGTCGTTAATCGACCACGAGCGCTAAGTTTGGCCTGTCGTAGCTCCATTAATTAGCCACTCTACACCGGCGGACAGAATACAACTGCCACTTTCCCGCTGCAAGAGCGGTCAGATGACCACAGCTTTTTTTTTACAGTAACGAATTACCTAGCGTTTTTGGCAAAGTTAGGGAGGCAATTGTATTTAGCACTAAAAGTTGGTTTGAGAGCTGGCAGCTTCAATGGACTCCCAAGCTGTTTTGGCACGCTTTTAAGCCCGCGCGCTTCGCACACAGAGCTCAACCACCAAGTGCGCTCTACAGTGTACAGCGCCTTTAAAAAAAAGCTAAAGATAAAGGCTTTTAATCCAGAATACGACGGAATAGCGCTCACCTTTTACAAGCATCACGACAGATGTGATGACACGCTCAGTGTCCTCACCAAATGCAGCCACACCACGAAGTAGAGTTCCATGTAGTACTGATACATTGTTCTGCTACTGCATCTATCAAGCAACAAAGCTGGGGAACCCACTGTACACTCTAACTAGGGAGCAGGACCGACTCCTCATCACATGGCACTTCCTTATACACTACTAACATGTTAGTACATGTACAGGGGGTAGCGGCAATAAGAAAGGGTCAAATAACTAATATCTCTGACATTTTATATTATGTGTTTATACAGGACCTCACTATTTGTACCGAGGAAGTTTTTTTGAAACGAGGTGACATTCACTCTTTTGATTTTAAAAATCAAATTAAGAACCCACTCCTATCCTCAGCATTATGCACTGTGTCTCACTCACCCAGCGTATTCGCCTCACGTAGCTGCAGCAGCTTCATGTCTGCCACCAACACGCCAAGTATTCTGCGTGGAGCCTCAGCAAGCTAGCTGTCTGGGCTCAGTCCGCGTTCGGGCTACCAAAGCCTCCATCCAACGGTGTCGAAGCTGCTGAATAGGGAGGCACAGCTGCTCTCGACATCCATTGACTATTTAGACAGCAAGAAGGCCTCGTCACCCACGTAATTGCTGCTGGAGACGTACTTGGTGGAGCAGCTGGCAGAGTTTGAGTCGCGACGGGCTGCGGTGGCTTGCGCGAGCGTTCGCTGGGATCTTGAAGATACCTCTCGCAAAGTAGCCGGAGTTTACTAAAAGCAGCTGGCAGCATCACTTTATGGCTTGCCACGGCCTCAAGAAGCTATGTTTTGGGGAAATCTAAGGGGCCACGATGGCTGCAGGATATGCCATGTTTGGCTAGATATCACGGCACTGGGAAGGACTGGATGTCAGTGAAGCTTTTCCAAGAGTGGCTACAAATACTAGACAAGGTAGTTGCTGAGCATGGCAGACATATTTTGCTGCCGGATAACGCAACCTATGGACCAAGGGGTCATAGCGTGGTTGAAGCAGCGTTTTATGGCTGCACGGACACAACCTACGTCTACTTGACGGGGACTACAGTATCGTACCATCCGAAGCGCTTCAGTGGATAAGTGATGCCGCGAACGAGTCACCGAATATTAGAAACTAGTGGAGACATGCTAGTTTATACGTAGATGAAGTGAATTTGACGATCTACTCATCCGATCGAGTAAGATATTACATTTTTTTGAAACAGTACATTTGAGACCTCCTCAATTTGTTTGCCTTCAGTACTTAATTCGTTAAACCATTTCTTATTGCACCTACTCCCTACCATGGATCGTTGAAACAAAGCAAATAAAAGCTTACGGGAAGGAAGCAGGGTTCGTAATCGAAATGGATCATCTTTACAATGGGAGACGAACCCTGGTTTTTGCGACTGGACAGTTCCCGTGCAGAACCAGCCCCATTAAAACATGTATTATTATTATTTAATAAGTGAGACGTGTTCACTATCGGATATCAAAACAGTATACTACTGCAAGCTCCGCAGCATTCAGCTTCATTCATTATCTAATCCTTCTCCCAGTGTGACATCGTCTCACACAGGTGCATGGCGAGCCGCAATATTATACTGCTAGTAGCAGTCTGCTACTGCTGCTGAAACACACGCACAACTTCACTTTGAGCAGGGAAAGGCTGCATTTGAAATGAATGCCGGCGGCACTATTAATAAAGAAGCATCTGCGACACTATTCCACAAATTGACTCTTATAATAGCCACATTTAAAAAGAAAAGTTAGCTAGAATTGATAGTAAACAACTAATGTGGTTTCATAAGACTCACGTTTACTCGCGCGAGTTAAGTTGAGTCGAGGGCCGATTCCGATTAAATTGCGCGAGTTAAGTTGAGGCGAGGGTTCATTCACATTAACGCTAATGTGAGTATCATATCAAGGCCACGTCTAAATCCATGGTGATATTACCGGTACATGTACCTCACTTTTCCGCCTGTGCCTGCACTTCGATATCTATTCAGACTAGAGTTGATCTAAAGATTTGCAGTCTTTATAAATAGCTTGATTTCAATACGGGCGATCTGTGAATAACTTTGGGGGCTCAGTGATTATCGTTTCCCAAATCTATCCAGTTGATCTAAAGATTTGCAGTCTTCATAAATATTATTAATAATAGCTTAAGTTCAATACAGTAAGTCTGTGAATAAGTTTGGAGGCTCTGTGATTATCGTCTCCCCTCCCAATGGGAGGGAGATGGGAGTCCCATATGTGCTCGACCGAGTGGATTCTAATTGTCTAGACCAGAGATCGTGAAATAGCCACTGGCCACTTGTTTCTGGTCACGTTTAATGTGAGGCTGCTGATGCCTTGATCGCCATTTCACAAACCACAGTCTCACGAAACCTCCAGTTCCAGAGCCCGACATGCGCCTCATCCAAGCTCTATCCATCACATTGGCCATTCTCCTTGTCCGTAGCATTGCAGCCTCGGTAGCAGGTCCGTCGATAATCTCAACGTTGCCCTCGCAGAATACATCGCCTTTTTCGAGCCGACCAATCGTCCTGGACCAAAGACGATCGCTGCGAGTCTACAAAACAGTCGATGGAAACTCAGCGGAAAGGGGTCTTTGGAGCTACGCGAAGGCATTATGGTGGGCGGAGACCGGGGCATCCGATGGCTACGTCAGGAAGGCATTAAAGCTTACTAATCTCGACGAGGCAGCTGTCAAAAGCAACAAGTACTATGCGTACTATGTCGACAAAACTGAGTGGTATAAGATCATAAAATGGCTTCAGAAAGACGTTTCGACGTTCCAAGTCTGGAAGACCCTCAATCTGGACAAAATCACTGAGAGTAGCCAGCTACACAGCGTACGAAATACTGATGCCTTCAGGGTATACTCTCGATACGTGAAACACTTCAACAATGCTGTAATCTCGAAGCTGGATAACGGTTATCAGCCCGATCGCGTGCTGGTCGAAAGAGGGGCTTCAGACGCCGAGATGTCGGCCAGAGCGCTCATTATGGCCAACGCAGGCATAAAGGACGACTATGCACAAGTTCTTCTGGGTCTAACTACACAAGGCCGTTTTATTAAGCTACTGAAAGGAGCCGAACTGACAGGACACCGAGACTTTCAATTTTTTAAGTTGTTTGTGGAAACGAAAACGGCAGCAGGGAAAAGAGCAGCTAAGAAAGGATAAGTGTCAACGCCTAGAAACTTGGATCTACATAATGAATTATGCAAGACGTTGAACTCCTCCCCCCCAAAAAAAAAATAAAAATAAAAATAAAAAATAAAGAAGAAGGCAGCGTTGCACAAAACATTTTAGTAGGTTGTTGTTCCTTTACGTAACGTTATTAACAGTGGTTCGGAATTGAAAAAAGATTCATTAGTTTCTTGTATCGACCAATCAGATCGCGTTTATCAATTCACTTCAGCTTAAATTTTAGTTTGGTCCGAAAACTCCAGCCAATCAAACTTGATAATCTGCGTAGCTGTACTGTATTCAATGAAAAGTAACAGAAAATGTAGCCATGAAATTATCCAACCAATCAAATCTCGTATTTTAACCCACTTCAACTTAAATATCTTCTAAGATATGTTGAAAAGCTAATAATGTGTGAGTATCGAAAAGATCGTTCATTAATCTCCTTTGAGTGTATACCGTTAATGTGCTGGGGCTGCAAGCTGTCGCGGTGCAACGAGTTTTCCTGCGAGTTTGGCTAACGTCTCCATTGTCGCGTATTCCTTAGTGGAAATGTTGTCGTGCGGTTTGAAGTCGGACGTACACAATGACGCAACAATGGCCCCGTCGGGCGCTCGGATCGGGAATCCCGCGTAGAATTTCACGCCTGCGTCCTTGATAATAGCCATCTGTGCGAAACGCATATCACGCTGCGGGTTCTTGACGACCAGCGGTTTGTCAGCGTAGATCGTGTGCGCGCACATGTTCTCAGTACGAGGAGCCATGTTCATCTCCGGTGGGCGTTGAGGGAACGTCCCCACAGCGTGGAGCGTGTCCTCTCCCACCATCGACACGTATCCCACTGGACAGTTGAGCTGCTTCGCTGCTACCTGAGCCAGAAGGTTAAGAGCTGCGCGGTCATACGTCGGGTCCAGCACGCCCGAGTCGCGGATGTACTGCAGGCGTTTATGTTCCTTGTGACGCTCAGGCATCGGTGGCAATGGGTGGTTCGGGTCGCGCGTCTTGTTGCCGTCAAAACGCAAGGCGTAGTCACGCTCCAAATCTACCACGTCGCAGTCTTCCGGTCTCGTGTGTTTCTCGACCACACGCAAGTTTTGTTTGAGGTGATGTTCGATGTCCCATCGCACCTTCTCGGTCAGGTCTATAGTCTTGTGCTTGCGTCTGCGTCTGGATGAGACTGTGGGACTCACTAGACGTCCGAGCTGTTCGAGTGCTTGAGATCTTGTAGTAGGGTCGTTGGACGTTAACTGGTCGTGCAACGACGAGTTAGACAAGCGAGGCCGTGTCTGTGTCGTCTAGCGAGTCAGTCTCGCCGTCCGAGAACCAGTGGTCGTCACTCACGACTGTTGGACCTAACGCTGCAATGAGGTTTTCGTCCTCGAACTTGCAAGCATCTACACGTACCACACACTCGACGCAGATGCGGTTGCGACGGACTTGACCCACACGCGCCTCTACTTCGTGCAACTGCGAGCAATCTCGACAGACCATGTAGCCGCAAAGCTGACAGAAAAAGTCGCGGCGGATTAATGAAAACCGTTTCTGGCAAATAGAGCACGACCTGAGCTCGGGATCGCCCACTGAAGATGTATGGAAGTAGACGAACGACTGAAACCCAAAGCGTCGTCTTCGAATCACACGCTCGAACTCTTTTAAAGACCGAGTCAACAAGTCCAGTACGTGTTTCGCTTCGGGGTTCATCACGACCGCCCGACGCCGCGTTACCTGAGACCGCGTCGGGGCAGCGACGCGTGATCGCGGATCCGGTGCGTACGCCCCGAAAGCTTCGGGCGGCGTGACGGACGCGTAGCCGTGTGCAATAATACTCGTCGTCTGGTTACTGCTACCGCCCGGCGCCGACGTCGACTTGATGTCAAAGCCAACGGCCAAGTGGTCCAGTTGGTGGCGTAGCGCTGTCCGCCCCGAGCGCGGCACAAGCTCGTCGTGGACATGTTTGGGCAAAGTTTTTATCACATGTACCGCTCGATCTTTACTTGCGTATTGGTGGGTGAATGACGCGAAGCATAACTGCTGCGGTTGTCGGTGTTTCTTTGACTGCAGCTTCATGTGTAGTGCCGGTTGCAACGTCGCCGCGTTGACGCTGATCAAGAGTTTTTGTCCGTCTGGGTCTCCTTCCTGAATGTCCGACAGAATTTCTCGAGATTCGTCGGAAAGGTGACACGGCTGTTGAAATACCACGCGTCCGTCACGGAATTTGTCACCACAGAGAGCCGACATGGTACTTTGGTAGTCGCAGGACTCGTGGCTAATGAGAACGTTGAGCACCTCGTTCAGATGGCACTTGATCTCCGTTTTGGCCAGTGACGCGTACGCCAGATCCAAGTCGTCAGATCCGTTGTCACTCGGTACCAATTCGTACGTGGTGACGCCGTCCTTGCGACCTTTGCGATGCCATATCCGTGGATCTATTGAGATAGCGGCGTGTAGCTTCGGTACCGTGGCCAACAGGTCGTCGGCCATCTGCTGGTCCGTGAAGAGCATATTCTGCTTGCCGCGACCGCCGCGGATCGCCAATCCACCTCTACGATGCTCCTGAGGCTGTCGAAACGACTTGAAAGTCGACGGCTTGCGTGAATACGACGGAACTCTTGTACGGGAACCGGACCGACCCGATTGAAGACTCCCTGAACGACCGGATCGAGTGCTCATGTTCCTGAGCGATCTGAGCGCTGTGATGCGAATTGAAGAATGGCAGTGGTGGCATGGATCGGGATCACATCGGAGACCAAGCTAGTCGGGTCCTTTACACCAGACGACCGTCGTGGTGAGATCAAGTGGGACGTCGTCAGCCGTCGCCACTGACAGCCGTCACGGTTCTGTCCGACGGATGCGCTCCCGTGTCATCAAAACAGTGAGCAAACAGATAGCTCCACCAAAATGACAGCTGGACAACGGCAACGATCCGTTGGCTTCAAGTCGATGGATAGGAGAACTTGAAGACTCAAAAGGATACACGTTACATGTACACTGATCAAATGCGATGCAGGCGGCTGACCAGCTAAATTAAATCAACCGACAGTAGTCGATACTGTCGACTACTGCTCGGTGTCAGTGGTTCGGATACTCACCCGACAATCGTGCTCGATATGGAAACGTTACACTCTGGAACGAGAGGGCGCTAGTCCTGTATGTGTACCTAAGTTATCGCGAAAGAGGTCAAGTTGGTCATGTCATCCAGCGTGGACACTTCGCATCCTAACCTAAAATGCAACGCAAATTAATTGTAAACGAGTCACGTCGATTTCGTTTTGGTGAGCAACTCTTTTGTAGAGTACCCAGCGCTAGTACTGCTGGTAGTAATACATAGTGCTTGGATTCAACATCGCCCAGATTTTACAGCGAAATCACAACCGTGAACCTTATCCGATAAGGTGCTACCGTCAGATCTTCTACAACTGGTAGCCTACAGTACAAGAGAGAGCCTACACGTTTCACACTTTTAATTCCGTCTAGGGATCTTCACAGCTGTACCCCTCCCCCCTCCACTTCCCCGTTGTAGTGATTTGCTTTTATTCCTCGATTAAGCAACTGTTTATTACAGTTTATTGACTGATCCTGGTGACCTTTTGACCTAGTACGACGTGAAGCTCAGATCTGCGCCTTCGGGTGCTGACCACACAATGTGATCAACCATTTGAGGGATCATTCGCTGGTTGACAGTTTGCCATCCAAGCGAAATCGACTGCTCGAAGCTACCTGTCCAGCAGTGTTCGTACCCCCGACCGTCCGTGACGCCGTACACGATCGAGCCATTGTAATACGGCTCCGTCGTGGTCTTCAAGAAGTCTTCAAGCAGGAAGACCGCGTCGTTCAGGTAGTAGCTGTCGGTGACGCCCACGTACACGTGAAGCTTATTGACGAGTTTGTGACCGAGTCCCCGTGCGTGCCACTCACGCTGTAGCTTCGCACGGATATCGTAGTGTGCCTCCCAATACTCGACGACTTGTGGGTGGATCTCACCCGTACGTTTGTCCCAAACAGCAGCCGGGTACCCGTCCGTGTTATTCAACGGCGAATACACAGCTTGCCACGCATCCCACTGACCTCCGGAACGTCCTCGTGAGCCCATCGCGAGCTCGTGGTGGTTCTCTTCGGCCATCGTTTCTCGAATATCCCCGAGATAATTACGCTTCGCTCCACGATCCTTCTGCGTCCAGTCACCTCGAGCGTAGTAGGCGTTCTTGTTAGCAACCAGATCCACTTGCTGGAATCTGTGGAAGTCGAACGCGTCAGGACAGAACGACCAGCAACCGTTGTACTCGTCTGGGTAATACACCTGCACGGCGAAGGACTCCCAGCCGCCCGTCGAGCCGCCGTACATGGTACGTGCCCATCCTTCGCCGATACCACGGAACTTGTGCTCAAGATATGGCAGGAATTCGAACGTGATCGCGTCACCGTACGGTCCGATATTAGCGCTATTGACCGCATACGAATCGTCGTAGTACGGATTGGCATGTTGGAGCTGTACGATGATCCCTCGCTTGTTAGTAAACGGACCTGTTGGGTTGTCAGACGTCCAGTTGGAGAAGAAATAGAAGCCGTACTCTTCTCCAAGTGATGCGGTCGTGGTATTCTTTGGAGGTGAAGGGTAGAAACTGTGCTCGAATTCACGACTGTAGTGCGTGTGGTAGATGAACAGAGGGTAGTGTACATCCTTCATTGCGTCGTCAAAGAAACGATATGGTAGCAACACCCAGGCTTTTAGAAACACATCTGTGCCCCAGAAAGTCGACAAGGACGGACTACGGAACGTCACGTGTTGAAGCAACTCATGAGGTTCTTCAAGCGGGGGAAGCTCCGGTTCCACTTGTGTTAGTACGAGATCAACCGAGAACGTCGCGGGGTCGAATAGTGCGCGTTTAGCCGCGCTGTAAAGTGAACCGGGTGCTGTGAGCACGCCGCCGTCACTTTCGAATGTCGTGAAGCTAGGAAGCTGTAGCTTCCAGCCGTCAGAGCGGTTGTACTCTACGTACGGATGTAGCACTGCTTGTACCCAATACTCTCCAGCAGGCACTTGGTCCATGAAGACCATGGGATACCCCACCGCGTGTGTGCCATTCACCTCTCGGCTCTCCGTCCCAATGTCGCCCGGAGCGAACTCCCAAACGTCGACTGCAAAAATCTGTTGCGTATCTTTCGAGTCGTCAACGAGAAATCGAGGTTGGTCTTCACCCTGCGGATCACTCACGGCGTGTTTTTGAGCCATGCAAACCATCAACCGACCGGTGATCGGCTTCGAATGCACCGACGACGGGAAGCTCACGCGGAATCGAGGAACCGATGTGTCGGAATTGAACCCGGCAACGCTCTGCGTGTCTGCAGTCCAGTGAAAGAGCGCTAAGAAGCCAAAGGTTGATATAATCGCGACTAGCGCAACATTTCCGAGCTTCCAACGAGGTCGAGTGGACGGTGTCGCAGTGGACATGTCACTGGTTGGGATGAGTGACGATCTCTCGCCTTGCAGTGACATTGGAGACCACCAACAATTGCACAAGGTAGATGGAGCTTTCGTCGCGAGGCTGGAACTTGGTGAATGAGCTCCATAGTGGAGAGAAGACGGTGAGAGCTGGGATGTGCGTCTCCGCTGACGTCCACGATGTCATCCAGCTCCGTGTTGAGCACGTGATACTGTTGAGCGAAAGTCGGAGCGCCGTACATTGAGTTCGACGATGGTTCATCGGGGACTTATCGGTCACATAAGTGTCCGTAGACAACGTACAGACACGTGTGTCCGCATGGAGGAGCTGGACGGAAACTGCGGAGGCGTCACTCGGGAGGAAGAATGGCTGGGCTGGAGAGCTCAAATTGAGGAATGAGGACATGTCTTCCTTCTCGGAACTCGCCAGCAACTGTAGAGAGCCGTCAGCCACATTTCAAGGCACGTCATTGGGTGCAGCCACAGAGAAGCACATCCGAATTCGGAGCTTGCATCGCAGCTGCAATAGCGATAATGACCAACACTTGCGAATTGCAATTTGTAACATGGCTGCAAAAGGCAGCGATCCAAAAACATGTAGCTTCTATTGCTAACTGATAAATGTTGGAAAACGTTTTATTTATTTAACAGCTCAAGATAGTACATTACTATCAGCGCAGCGCCCTCTCCCCGAATGCACGAGCCATGCGGTACAAGCAGCCTCCTGTCCACGCGCCAGCGGTGCACATCCACAAGTAAGTAAATGTACGTAGAAATGGAGGACACTGGCGAGTTGTATGCAGCAAATGTTAGAGGATTATCGATGGCATAGCAGCTTGTATGCAACAAATGTTCACAAAATGTTGAGAGCACAACGCGTTCTAAGCAGTACAAGCTACCAGACTACCGCTGGCACAGCTTCTAGTGAAAGCCCGAGCTGAAGGCTGCGGAATAGGAGACCGGGGCAGCCTGATGGACCGCAAGCGAGCCTCAGTTTGAGTTCATCCTGCCAACCAGCCCATTCTCGATTTTCTTCGAGTTGGGCTCAAGTCGATGGGGTGAGTACGTACAAAGTACGAGAACGGTAGGCCTCTACAGAACTCTGTTCATTCCTCCCACGCCTGGTAACTAACGACGCGTTTATGCTGTTGCTTACGTGCAGACATTCCAGCCGTCAAGGGAGCGAGCGGAAGTCACCATCCTCAACCAACATCAGACGGTCAACAATCCCCAACATCATCGCTCTCAAAGCCAGGACACTTCACATCAAGCTATGCAACTCAAGCTCATTGCAACTGCAACGCTTATGGCACTCTAAGCAGCCACCCTCGAGACTATTACGTCTCAGAGGTACGATCCTGCTGCTTGTGGTGATTATGTCCAAAGCAATCTGACCCAATTGTACATGCATTCAACAGATACATCGTGTCCACCTACTTCTTCGTAAATTTTCCACGCACGACGCCATCACTGCCCACGTAGTACACACCAGTCATGCCTGACCCGACCGCAGCAATCTCACAGGCTCGACAAGTACTGACGACACAACCTTGACTGTCCAGCCCGCTGCGGTGCAGCACCCTACAGCTTACACATTAAGCGGCAGGTCAAGACGTTGCTGGTGACTACTAGCCAGATAAGGCGGATCTGGCAACAGTGGCAGCAGTTGCATACGCCTGCCGTGGGGCACAGCCATTGCAGTGGACGGCAGCCACGAACGACCTCACGGGGGAGTTCCACCCAAGCGCTGGATCAGTAAAGAAATCCAGGTGGGTCAGGCTGAAACTGCATGAAGTATTACCAACCGCCACCCAACGCCGTGTCGGTGGTAGCGACAGTGGCCCACACCGTACTCTGCCACTGTGCAAAGATGCCTGCCACCCCCCCCCCCCCATGCTTTGGTGCTGAATAGTACTCTCGTACACGTAAATATTCAGCCATGCTAGCCTGAAATCCAGTATCTAACGCGCGGTGGTTAGTGCTGTATCGTCGTACAAGTTGCACATATCACTGGACTAAAAAGCGTCACTGGCCTCCGTGTTGACACTCGACCGAGCCATACACAAGCTTGCGTTAGCAATGTGCACAACTACTGTATCAGTCTCGACTGCGGTTGTAATCACGCCGATATCGCATTAGTACACGGGACTTTAAAGTCCAAACCAGTAGTGACATGTAGTACACATTGCGCACAAGGATCCACGCAGCTCAAGGCTCCGTGTTTTACGAAACAAGAAGAACTCACAGCCGCGACCATGGCGGAGCGAACAGACTTCGTGATATCCATGGTTGTCAACGAAAGTGCCGGTGTCAAACCAGTACCTGGCACTTCCGAGTCCAAGCGGCAGTATTCATCACTCGCAACGATCTACGCAGCTCATGACTGCACAGCTCCGGCGGCACGAAGCTTGCCACACCGCTCACAGCCACGACCATGGTGGAACATACCGAGCTCGTGATATCTTCGCCGTGCGTCCAACGCTTTATCTACGACGCGTTGGGCTCGCCATATGTGAGCTAACCGGTCAGTCACCATGCTCAACGCTCGGTGCGTGACCGCAGGGGTATGCTCGCCCCGACAGTCCTACATGCACGCGGTGGACGGACATGAGAAGGGAGAACAAGAGGCAGCACACGTGTAGTTCGTGTCAACCAGATATGCCAAGTCAGGTGGGACTCCGTCCAAGGATCTTTGTTCAAGTACTGAGACAAGCCAGTAACGCACGCTGGATAAGTTTTTGTCATTAGGGACAACTTCAACTAGCTAACTTCAACTTTGCAAGAGACCAGGCGCTGCGATTCGCTATGCCACAGGCGGCCAGGCGTTAGGTTTGCCAAATCCACCAGAAATCTAACATTTGTAAGGCAGGAATCGTGCTGATGGCCATGTCGGCAGGCTGGGTAAATTTGAGGGCTGCGTCTTTTTTTCAGTTGATGGTAACTTTTAACTCGTTTGTAATGTGTTGGTAAGGCAAGAAAGCTAAATGTTGGATTTTGTGGCTAATGGGAAGTTCATGAATGCATTTTCTACGTGCTACGTGATATTGCCGAAAACTGAATGTGTTGGAAAATTAAAGATCGATGTCGGAATGGTGGGCAGGACTGGTCGATAGAAGGAGTGCCTGCCTGATTCCATTTCTCTCTGCATTCGCACGAATGTTGCCAAGATAGGCAGCGAAGTATCTTGTCGTGCCCTCTGTTGCACGAAATATGGATGGGATTCACTGGACACGTTTATAGAATCTGAAATGTGTTCATGCCACACTGAGCTGTAGGTGAGCCAGAGATATTCGGATGTAGATTGGCCGTAAATGACCGTTCGTGGCCATGATCACGATCTGCTGCTGCTGTGTATGGATAGCAGGGGATCATTTATCTGGTCAACACAGTCGGCTGATAAAGATCTGTGTTCATGCATCTCTCATAGCGGCAGCTAGTATAAGTTAATTAATCGCATGACAGATGTAGAGCAGCTCTTTATGTCCACAAAAAACTGTTTAAGGTGGTAGTGATTCCATTTTTAAACTTCATGCTTTCTTTTATTACTGTAAGTTACTATCATTAAAGCTTTGCATGCGATACAAGTACCTCTGGAGGTCACCGCGCTTCTACCGGGTAGACTACCCTGGAGGCAGCCGGTAGAGTCGGTAGAATCGTGGACAGCAGATGTATGTCCTACTTTTGTAGCGAGTGTGCGCGGGTGGCCCGGAAATTCGATGCTGAGGAGAGTTTTGGTCAGTTCTTAACTAACGAAGTAGTAAGGAAGACACTGACCAAGACTCTCCAACACATCGAAAGCGAAGGTTGAATGACCAAGACTCTCCAACACATTGAAAGCGAAGGTTGAATGTCATTTTCTCTTAATAACCGCAAGAGATGCATGTTGCTCCTGGTACGAGTGCAGGTGAGCCAATACTGTGTACGCTGACAAGAACCCGCAGCGTGATAAGCGTATTGCGCACATGATTATACTCGAGGACTCGTTCATGGAATGCTACGCTGGCTTCCAGACGTGACCACCCGCCGGGTGACCCGGATCTATCATGGTGACGCTCTGTACTGCTGACCTTCACTAAGTAGGACGCGGCGATAGAGACGTTAGCATAGCTCAAGTCAACTGACCGCGCCACGACCAGAAGGCTACCGCAAATTAGCAGTGTCCAATTTTAATTTTCCGTACTGAACGTTCCACTAAAATCTAAAGGACTTACAATTAATTTATGATTTGTTTTTTCCTGTTTTAAAAGTAAGTTCCACTAAAAAAAATTAAAGATTAACTAACAATTGTTTTTTACTGAGTTAGCTGTAAATTATTTTTCCATATTGCATGAATCTGGTTTTATGTGTGAATACCCTTCTACTTTATCAAAATGAGCAGCCATGGGCGTACATGTCGATAGCTTACTTCGGGTGCTGACTCAGGACATATACAAGCTTCAACTTGTTCATGTTGTCATATTGATCTGTTTCTTTTGGTACAAACTGTGTATTGACAGATCCCGCAGACATTGACGACGTTTGCAGCCAACCTAGTACGACGTGAAGCTTAAATCTGCGCCTTCGGGTGCTGACCACACAATGTGATCAACCATTTGAGGGATCATTCGCTGGTTGACAGTTTGCCATCCAAGCGAAATCGACTGCTCGAAGCTACCTGTCCAGCAGTGTTCGTACCCCCGACCGTCCGTGACGCCGTACACGATCGAGCCATTGTAAAACGGCTCCGTCGTGGTCTTCAAGAAGTCTTCAAGCAGGAAGACCGCGTCGTTCAGGTAGAAGCTGTCGGTGACGCCCACGTACACGTGAAGCTTATTGACGAGTTTGTGACCGAGTCCCCGTGCGTGCCACTCACGCTGTAGCTTCGCACGGATATCGTAGTGTGCCTCCCAATACTCGACGACTTGTGGGTGGATCTCACCCGTACGTTTGTCCCAAACAGCAGCCGGGTACCCGTCCGTGTTATTCAACGGCGAATACACAGCTTGCCACGCATCCCACTGACCTCCGGAACGTCCTCGTGAGCCCATCGCGAGCTCGTGGTGGTTCTCTTCGGCCATCGTTTCTCGAATATCCCCGAGATAATTACGCTTCGCTCCACGATCCTTCTGCGTCCAGTCACCTCGAGCGTAGTAGGCGTTCTTGTTAGCAACCAGATCCACTTGCTGGAATCTGTGGAAGTCGAACGCGTCAGGACAGAACGACCAGCAACCGTTGTACTCGTCTGGGTAATACACCTGCACGGCGAAGGACTCCCAGCCGCCCGTCGAGCCGCCGTACATGGTACGTGCCCATCCTTCGCCGATACCACGGAACTTGTGCTCAAGATATGGCAGGAATTCGAACGTGATCGCGTCACCGTACGGTCCGATATTAGCGCTATTGACCGCATACGAATCGTCGTAGTACGGATTGGCATGTTGGAGCTGTACGATGATCCCTCGCTTGTTAGTAAACGGATCTGTTGGGTTGTCAGACGTCCAGTTGGAGAAGAAGTAGAAGCCGTACTCTTCTCCAAGTGATGCGGTCGTCGTATTCTTTGGAGGTGAAGGGTAGAAACTGTGCTCGAATTCACGACTGTAGTGCGTGTGGTAGATGAACAGAGGGTAGTGTACATCCTTCATTGCGTCGTCAAAGAAACGATGTGGTAGCAACACCCAGGCTTTTAGAAACACATCTGTGCCCCAGAAAGTCGACAAGGACGGACTACGGAACGTCACGTGTTGAAGCAACTCATGAGGTTCTTCAAGCGGGGGAAGCTCCGGTTCCACTTGTGTTAGTACGAGATCAACCGAGAACGTCGCGGGGTCGAATAGTGCGCGTTTAGCCGCGCTGTAAAGTGAACCGGGTGCTGTGAGCACGCCGCCGTCACTTTCGAATGTCGTGAAGCTAGGAAGCTGTAGCTTCCAGCCGTCAGAGCGGTTGTACTCTACGTACGGATGTAGCACTGCTTGTACCCAATACTCTCCAGCAGGCACTTGGTCCATGAAGACCATGGGATACCCCACCGCGTGTGTGCCATTCACCTCTCGGCTCTCCGTCCCAATGTCGCCCGGAGCGAACTCCCAAACGTCGACTGCAAAAATCTGTTGCGTATCTTTCGAGTCGTCAACGAGAAATCGAGGTTGGTCTTCACCCTGCGGATCACTCACGGCGTGTTTTTGAGCCATGCAAACCATCAACCGACCGGTGATCGGCTTCGAATGCACCGACGACGGGAAGCTCACGCGGAATCGAGGAACCGATGTGTCGGAATTGAACCCGGCAACGCTCTGCGTGTCTGCAGTCCAGTGAAAGAGCGCTAAGAAGCCAAAGGTTGATATAATCGCGACTAGCGCAACATTTCCGAGCTTCCAACGAGGTCGAGTGGACGGTGTCGCAGTGGACATGTCACTGGTTGGGATGAGTGACGATCTCTCGCCTTGCAGTGACATAGAAGACTAACAGCAGCTGCACAAGGTAGATGGAGCTTTCGTCGCGAGGCTGGAACTTGGTGAATGCGCTCCATGGCAGAGAAAAAGTGGCGAGAAGTCTGCTCTGGAATGCCTGGTTGCAGTGGCTGGTGATTGGCAATCGTACCGGCGTTGTGCTTTAAGGAAATCGGTTTGACAGGAATTTATGTTTAAAGACTTAAACCAAGCAAGACAATTTAGCAAAACAACTGAAACACGTTTATTAAATTTAGCGGTCTGAAAAGATCACACATGTTCGCTTAAAGTTATGGCGACTCAGCTGCCAGCAACACGTTTGGAGCAACGCAGCCGGAGCTGCCACTTGCAAGCACATTATTAACACAAGCAGAATTTGTACCAAAGATTTCATGTATTATCATGTACAAACAGTGTGAAACTGAACGAAGCAACAGCTCGAAGCAACTGGATCAGTGCTGCACACTAGCCTCTCTCCTTCTCGGCTTAGGCGCTGCCGTCGTCGGAGTAGGAGGCGCTCGTGCTGTTGCAGGTGCATTCAGCCACAGTGAGCACTACGTCCATGGACGAGAGACCGTTCTTGTAAACGGAGCAGAGGCTCGTGGGGCGGTTGAGGCAGTTGCGCCCCTGCTGGAACTCCCAGAAGTCGTTGAGCATACACAAGTCCGCACACTTGGCCGCGCGCTCCTCGGGCTGCGCGTCCCACGGCGTGGATTTCATGTTCGTCATGCGGTAGAACATATCTTGCTTCTTGGCCAGCGCCTCCTGGTTCACCACGCGCTCCTCGACGTGGTTCGCGCTCACCGCCTTGTTAGAACGGACTTTGAGGTGGGACTCTTCATACGCAGAGGCCGAGGTGGCAAGCAGCAGAGCGAGAACAGCACCAAAGGTCTTCATGATTTTTACTAGTAGCAAGTCAGGGAATGATATCCAGCCTGGATTCCTGATTCTGATCTGATATGACAGGTAGTGTACAAGTGTATTAGTGAATTACAAGTGTCTTATTGTGCGTTCTATTCGAAATTTCCGCGGGCGTCTGAGAGACACGACCAGCCCAATTGAGCACCCAATCGTGTAGCCTATCATACAGAATGCGTTTTGGCGCTAATACAGAATAATCCTCTGACTCGCCATCTTCATTCATGACAAGTGCGCGGAGTCTTCAGTGCGAGATGCGCTGTCACTTTAACTTCAACGTGTATCTGGTATCTTATTGAATAATAAAAAATGTTTTCTTAGTTTTGACCTCTAACAACGCAGCGTCGATTTGCCGTTCGCTTCGCGCCTTTCTCCGAATCGTCCCGCTTCGCAATACTACTACATTTTAAAGAGTTACAAGTACTACGTTGCTTAATTTTTTCCAAATACTAATATTATAATTTACAATCTAAATCGATTTTAAAATTTGAATATTTGCCATTGAAAATAGTCATCATTTATACCTTCATTATCTTGTTTATCTACCTAACGTCTACTCGCTCTGGAGGCACATAGTCGAATTGAACACCTCACCGATATCCCAGCGCTGCATCTGGTTGCCCTGTAGCACCTCGTCCCGCGCAATCGCCATGGCACTTTCCGAGATGGCTTCAATTTCACAGTTCCTACACACCGTGACAAGATGCTGCTTGAGACGCAGATCGGGGAGAAGGAAAGAGAGTTGGTGCTGTCTTCTGCAGTCCAAACACATATAACGTGTGCAAATTTTGCAATGTCTCTTCTTCTGCAAGATCTTGGCGCCATGATTCGTCTTACTTGCAGCCTGGACAAACACCGATTGCTTTTTCCCACAGCCCGAGCAGCATTTGTCGTCCAAAGAGCCACTTGATGAGCTCTCAGTACATTCCGAACTTGAAGATGACGTCTCGCCACTGTATCGTTGTCGTAAGGCCCACACGATCTTCTTCATGTGGCTACAGTAGACGTCCTTTGCCACCGATAGTAGAATCCGTGCTGCTGATCGAATGACTATGGTACGCATGATGCCTCCCGCCGGGTTGAAAAACCCTTTGATGTACACATCCGTGACGTTCGTAGTCTCTGACGATACAATAAACTGATCGAGCTGTTGCCTCGAAAGTGTGTGTCGAGAACGGGAGTCTCCGGGAATTGGACGGAATGTACGATGTGATATCCCACACGCTCTCCGTTTCGAAGGCGTTCGATACCTGTCGTCTCCATGTAGACGAAATCACGATTCTTTACGACAGGACGCACTGCAAGTGGTACATTCAATTCCACCCACTTGATGGAGGTGGCGTTGAACGGATTTTCCGGCGTCGGAGGGGACAGTGACGCAAGCACGCAGCTCTTGGGAATGTCGTCATGAACGTAGGACGTTTTGACCCGCATCTGCTCCGTCGTCGGACATACAACGCCGTACATGACATCATCCAAGTCACCGACCACTGTTCCAGTGATCATGACAACCGGTAGATCTGCCACGGGTGTTTCCTGTTGATACGGGTGCGGTGACTCCACAATACGAGGCTGTTCCGCATACGCTTTCAAGTCATCCTTGGCCGAGATGAACTTCCACTTGTCTTCGTCCACTTTGCCATGGTTGTCAATCAAAAAGCTCTCATACGCGCCGATATTGCAAGCCACCAGTTTCTGTGCTAGCCCTTCGAGCTCCATAGTGGTCGTCGGGGACAACTGCAACGGCGGAAACGGACTCGTGTATCGTTTGCTCACGGACGGATCCATCGCTACCCCAACCGAACCTGCAGACGCAGACGACGTTGAGTCTGAACGCTCGGCCGCGAAAGGATCAGTGAAGACCATTTCGAGCGTATGGAGCTCGCGAAAGCTACGCCGGCGATGCCAATGCGTTGTGTTCTCCCCAGAACGAGTCGCTCCCAGCTGCGGGAACGCCACCACATGTGCTGATCGAAGCTAGCCCAGGCCATGTGCCATACGTCAGTCAGTCCCATCCTATTCTTCGCTTAGCCACTTCAGGATTTGATCGAGCCAAGCTCTAAACATAACGTCACTTGCATTGGAAAGATGGTCGACCATGCTACATCTATCTTTAGAAGCATGTTCCAAAGACTGTCAAACAGGGCTCACGACGAGCTGCACCACAACTTGGCTTCATTTCTTTCCTAAAACTCTGCGATTAATTGGTAATAGGCAGCTGACTACCCCGAAAAGACCAGACGGATGCCCTCTCTTGTACAGTACAGGATCGTGCCAATTTGACCCACCTGTGCTGCGTTTGCCTTCAAAATTTAACATTATCCAAATAATGGGTAATCATTTTCACTTTAGTTCGTCGAGGTAGGAGTGGGCCTAATATCTACAGAATACATTGCTTAAGTTGGAGTCCATGTACGGCTGGAACGAGGTGTCTGTGTAACCTTGAAGCACTGATAATAAAATACTGATAGAACGCTCGAATATCTTGTGGTCTGCCAGCATAAAATGCGAGAGAGCTGTACGCTGAACAGTAGCGAAGATGTTGATACAACAGCAAGTGTACTTATAGCACATCACGCACATACACCGCTCACTCTATTTAGTCATGCCATGACTAATTATGGTGTTTAAGTTGGAGCACAAAAGTTAGAAAACTTTAATGCCCGTTATGTAAAAACAACTACTTCTGTAGAATAAGGAAATTGCTGTTTTTGGTTAGAATTAATAATGTGTCCCACATTTGAGAGTCACTAAAGCGCGAATGCACGATTAATTTCGAAGCACGACTAATTAGAGTGAACGGTGAATTCGGCCTTTCTTGCCAGCGTTGGCGGATACTTATTAATAAGAGAGTCGTTATTGTACCAGACTGAAAACGCAAAAAATTAATTGTCAAGGAAATTTTGAGTCCCTCGTACGGTTAAATTTGTATACCCGTATACGGAGCTTTTGTGCCACTCATTTAGGGGCACTCCATTTCGAGAAGAACAGCGCCAGCAATGGATCGGCGCCAGCCTGCACGCGCGTCGAAGAAGCGGCCCTCAGAGGAAGCCTACAGCGGGGGCAGTGAGAATGACGGCTCGGACGCGAGCTGGGTGGACGACTCCGCCGTATCCAGTAGTTCCAGTGCGGCGACGTGGAGTGTCGAGGATTCAAGCGTGACTGATATGCCTGGCGAGAGAACAAGTGGAGGTAGTAGCGGAAGAGGATCTCCAGAAGTCTGTGCAGACTTAGTTGAAACGCAGTTTCAGTCCTGGGAAGCCTTTCACTCGTATCTGGACGAGTATCAGAAGCAGACTTACCAGGTAAGGGCATTGATGGCACTATGTATTACATTATGAGAGTATTCAACGGGTTTGACCAATTTACTGTAGGTTTTTAGAGTGCGATCAACTAAAAGCGTGGCAGAACGGAACAGGCTAATGCAAAAGGCCCAGAAGCCGTCTTCAACGCTCATTTCAGAGGCATGGTGTACGTACGCAAAGACGCTCATTTGCACGCATGGCGGCAAGTACAGATACCGTGGTAAAGGGAAGAGGCCACGTCAGGAAGTACGCCCGATCGAGTGCAAGGCCCAGGTGCGAGACGTTGACTGTCGGTCACTGCCGGTCACAGTCGGTTGTAGTCTGGCACTGTCGGTCACAGTCGGTTACTGATCGGTACTTTATGTAACAATACTATTCAACAGCTAACGTTGCTCATGCGTGTATACAGATAAACGCTTGCGTTCAAGTGGTGAACACATCCCCTCTTCATTTTGCAGTTTGCGTCACTAAGACTGCATTATCTCACAACCACGGATTGGGGCTGCGTACGTACCGCCATTATCCCGCTAATCGACTGGCTATAGAAGAAGATGTTTTGGCGACGGTCAGAAAGTCAGGCACAACGACGCAAAACATTCTGAATTTATCGTGGAGAACACCAGCAGCGATCCAACTCCTCAAGATGTACGAAACCTAATCCGGAAGCTAAAGAAACAAGACCAGGGCGTGTCATCTCGTTCTCAACGCATCAAGAAATGGATGGTGGACTTTTGTGCTGTTCAAGGGAACGTAGGGCATATTTTTGTGGACCCATCAGGCGGAAAGGTTCGTTTTGCGTCTCAAGTATTGTGAATCGGTCAGTTTGATTCTAAATGTGTGTGTTTGGTTTTGTAGTAAATCGCTACGTGTATTACACTACAAACGAAGCACATGATTGACATTTTTAGCAGATTCCCTGAAGTTTTAATTATCGACGCAACGCATGGTACCAACGCCTCAAAGTACAAGATTTTTTCGTTCATGGCTCATGATATTTTCGGGAAAGGTCAGTACGTACAGCACGCTATCCTACAAAATGAACGAAGTGAAACGCTGTTTTCGGCGTGTGAAGAATTTAAGAAGCAGAATCCTTCCTGGACTAAGCTGCAGTGTGTGATCGTGGACAAAGACTTTACCGAAATTGGAGTTTTGCAGACAGCTATTCCAGACGTTCGTATACTTCTCTGTCAGTTTCACGTCGTGAAATATTTGCGGGAGGAGATTGCATGCGCCGACTATGGCTTCTCGGCGTGGCAAAAAAAGCAGCTTCGGGCAGTTGTCAATCTGTTGGTGTACGCAAAAACGGAACGGGAGTATGAAAAGCACCGACGCTACATGACACGTTTGACCTGTATTGGTACCAGCCGTGGCACCGCCACGGCTAGATCTGGTGCAATCGTGGAATCGGGTGCGGAATCTGTTGCAGTCGGTGGAAGTGTGGAGTCGGTTGCAGCATTAAGTACTGCTGTGGACACAGAGCAGGTTGCCTTAAATCACCCGTTTGAGACTTACTTTGCGAAGAATTGGGACGGGTGCAGGGACATGTGGTGTTCTTTCACGAGACAAAGTGCGGTGACGTTGGGCAACAACACCAATAACAGACTTAAGGCGTCCTGGAAGCACATGAAGGAGATTGTAAATTCTTCAGTGGTCTTAGATGAGTGTTTGGCTTCAATTATTTTCTATCAGACTCGATCTGAACAGCTTCTGTACAACCGTGCAACCAACATTTCTCACGTCCATCACGAAGAATACGATAAAGAGATGAATGTCGTGGCTAACTTGGTTAGCAAGCATGTATGCGAATTAATTCATGAGCAGTACGTGTACGCAACTGGTCCGGCTTCCTATTCCTTTTACGAGGCAATGCCTGGAATGATCTTTATCAAGAATGAGAAAGATGCAGAAGGAAGTCTGGACGAACCACGAGCAGAGTACACAATTGCTAAGTCAACCTGGGAGTGTTCGTGTTTATTTGCAAGTACGCGGCTATTGCCATGCAGGCATGTTTTCTACGTGCGTCAGCAACTGAAATTGGAGACAATTATTCCGACTCAGTGTTTCCATCCTCGTTGGTTGTTGTCTTCGATGAATGACACGCGTCCTCCGTTGGAGACCGAAAGGAACGGCTGTTCTGTGACTCGGATTGCATCGCTTCCAAAGCTTCCGTGGGACTCTAACCGCAAATTTCGCCAAGCTAATAGCTTTGCTACCGCCATAACGGAAGCTGTAAGCACGCTGGGAATGGCGGAATATCGGGTGGCAATTCAGGCGTTAGCGCAAGTATCAACGATGTTTACTGAAAAAAAGTTTGAGCTGATCAAGGAGCTGTCGTCTATGGGTCCAGTTCCTCAGTCAGTGGGTCAGTCGGTAGCGTCGGTGGAGTCGGTGTCTCGGTCGGTGGAGTCTGTAGAGTCGGTGGCTCAGTCGGTGGAGGCGGCTGACCACTCGGTGGAGGCGGCTGACCACTCGGTGGAGGCGGTTGACCACTCGGTGGAGGCGGTGGAGTCGGTGCCTCAATCGGTGGAGTCGGTGCCTCAATCGGTGGCGGTTGATCACTCGGTGCAGTCGGTGTCCCAGTCGGAGGAGTCGGTGCCTCAATCGGTGGATCACTTGGTGGATCTTTCGGTGATGCAATTGACTCAAGTTCTTGAATCCGAACCAATTAATGCGGAATCACCTGGATTCGAGATAGCAAGTCCCTTACGCCCGCGAGGCCGCCCGAAGCAGAAGGCAAAGACTAAGAAAGCGAAGAGGAATGTATCTATCCTAATGGCACAAGATGATTCGATACTTCACGACCAAGGTATGAGCCTCAAAACAGTCCAGGTTCTCCTTTCAAATGAACCTACCTACGCATCATGTGCTGAGCCGCTACACCAATTCCAGCTATTTGTTTTTGATAAGAAGATGAAGCCCCCAATGCCCTACGTTATTTCGAAGATGCCGGCTAACAAAGTTATCATGGATCCAATCGACAATTCTCGTATTTTGGCCAAAGAGATACTCCAGCGAGCGAGCAAAAAGGTAGTTACCCTACAAAAGAAGCACAAGGAATTGCCAGAGCTAGACTTTGCAGTTGATTTTCCTGGTCTATTTGTAATCGGGATGCAGACACTGAGAACCATGAAGCTATGGCACCAAGCAGTCAAAGAGCTAAACAATATCGAGAGAGCCGTAAAATGGATCTCAGAAATTGATTTCTCGCTGGATATTTCGCCTGTATTTCGGGCCGAACCAGATGCAGAATTGGCGTCAAAACTAGAAGCAATTCCGATTTTCTCTGAAAGGGTAAGCACTTTGCATATTTTAAGGGTAGCAGCAACTGACACTTTGTATACGTATTTTGTAGATTCGGATCGTTGACTTTGCATTCAGATCACTACTTAGTGACACTGCGTTGGCAGAGGCAATGGCAAAGCTATTTGGTCAACAAGAGGAAGTCATGACTGTTGACCCAGTGATATGGGGTATCGTGGAGAGAGGAAATGTGAGCATTCCAGACGAAGAGTTAAAGCACTTGTTCAGTTGTATTACTGGGCGAATTATACTGCTTCCAGT